AAAAAAAAAAAAAAAGAAGAAAAAACTACCAGGCTCTGCTGATCAGACATCTGACATCAACCATCAGCCTCCTAACCAGTTTCAGATCCAAGTCAAGTTCAAAGCCTCAAAGCTCTCACTTTGCAGAGGAAGGCAGATGCCCTCCATAAGTCCTCTCCCAACACTAAACATTCTAGGCTGGGCATAGCAGCTTGTGCCTAGAATCTCAGCACTTTTGGAGGCCAAGGAAGGAGGATCACTTGAGCTCAAGAGTTCACAACAGAGCAAGACCCCATCGCTAAGAAAAATAAGAAAAAGTAGCCAGGAGTGTTGGCATGAGCCTGTAGTCCTAGCTGTAGTTGAGATGGAAGGATCACTGGAGTCCAGGAACTGAAAGCTGAGTGAGCTGTGATGGTGCTATTGTACCCTACTCTGGGCAACAGAGCAAGACCCCATCTCTGAAAAGCAAAATAAAAAAAAAATACCGATGCCAAGACTATTACAACATCATCATGGTTCTCTGTTTATAGAGTGGAGGCATCTCTAGTGGGCCCCGGTGGGCCTGTGTATTTGCCCTGCGCATTCAGATAGACTTAGCTGCTGGCAGAATCTATACCGGTACCCTGGCTGGAGGAGCAAGGTCAGTACAGTAGGAAGAGCTAAGTGGGAGCCCTTGACACTTGCTCCCTCCGCTGAGACAGTGAGTCAGGCAGACAGGGCTTTCCTGGAGGAACTGTGCAATAGATGCAGCTATCAGAGCCAAGGGAGCAGGAGGGCTGTCTCCCATCACATGTCCTTTAAATTTACCTATCTGGCCTGAGCAAAAAACAAAGAAAGGTGGAAGATGAGGAACTGCTCTAAACTGGAACAGGTGGCAGAACCCGTGAGGGCTGTTATGCCAGCAGTGGCGTCTTCCCCAGAGCAGATCAATAATACCCCCTGGAGCCCCAGAGAGACAGTTGCAGCACAGACTCTGCAGGTCTGGAGCAAGGCTGCACCTTCTGTGGTAGAAAACTCCCCCTTGGGAAAACCGCCCCTGCGTCCTGCAGCAGCTGGAGGCAGCCGTCTGGAGCTGGGCTTCCTGAGTTCCACTTGCTTGTGACAGTGGGCTACACGGCAGTTATCCACTGCATGGCAGAAACGATGTGCTCTGGGTCTGGCCCAGATGACATGGGTGACTCCCATGCCCTGACATTCATGTCACACCTCCTGGGAGTTGCATGGATGGAGAGGGGCAAGTGCACAGTGCACTTGGGCTCAGTGCAGTCACCACGCACTAGGTGGTAACTCCAGCTTGATTGCCAACCACACACAGCCCCTGAGCTCCAAGGGGGAAGGCCTGAGGGACAGCTCCCAGTGTGCATCTCGTCTCCCACTTCCTGCGGGCAGGAAGGGTCACTTGAGCACTGCATCTGACTTGGGTACTGCAGGAGGTGGGCTGCCTCATCAGGAGCCTGAAATGGATAACCCAGGGACATGGGAATCTGGGGAAGATTGGGGTCAGTGGGCATAGTGATGTACACCTGTAGTCCCAGAAAGCTGAGGCTGCAACGAGCTATGATCACACCATCGTACTGGAGCCAGAGCAACAGGGAGACACCCCACCTCTAAAAAAGCAAAAAAGTTTTTTTTTAAGGTTTGAGTTTGGGCCCATCAGTAATGGAGGGGACCAAGCTCATGGAGCTGGCTCTGGGTATCATAATCATGCTCCCAGAGAGAATCCATCACAGGAGGGGGGTGTCAATAGAGTCATGGGTGGACATCATGGCTGCTCTGTAGAGGGTAGCCAGCAGGCCCAGGGACAGAGTAACAATGGTGGCAAGGATGGTGGCTACGCCAACAACATGAGACCCTCTCTTCAAGACTGATCTAGGCCTAGACCAGAAACTGTCCACTCTGAATAAAACTTCTTTACATGGATAATCAGAAACTTGGAGAAAACATGACTGAAGGGAGTAACAAGGATGCTGGGGGTAGATGCTCTCTGGATGGACTTCTTGGAATAGCCTAGAGCAGTGGTTCTCAACCTGTGGTTCACAACCCACAGGAACTGTATTAAAGGGCCACAGCATTAGGAAGGTTGAGAACCACTGGCCTAGAGTGTAAAAATAATGTGTCCATGTGATGCTAACCAAGTGTCCCACTGCAAAGAAGCCTCTGAGTCAGCAAGATTTATGCCTAGGGCAAATAAGCTTCATGGCTATGGCCACAGAGCAGATGTTACACAGGTTAACTCTATGTGTCCAGCCCTGAACCTACCACCTGGAGGCAGAGCACTTGTTCCCCCTTTTATTTATTTATTTACTTTTTATTTTATTTTATTTTGAGACAGAGTCTCACTCTGTCACCCAGGCTGGAATGCCATGGCCTTCTGGGCCCACGGGATCTTCCTAACTCATCATACTTACGGTAGCCTCAAACTCCTGGGCTCAAGGGATCCTCCTGCCTCAGGCTCCTGAGTAGCTGAGACTATAGGCATGAGCTACCATGCCCAGCTGATTTTTTTCTAATTGTGTCCCATTCTCCCTTAGGCTGGTTTCAAATCCCTGAGTTCAAGCAACCTCTGCCTCCCAGAGTGCTGGGATTACAGGCATGATCCCCGCACTGTGCTGACAGAGCACTTTTCTTTGATACCCTCCACTGTGAAGGGCAGGCACTCCATCTATTCTGGCGGAAATCCGTGTTCCTCCTGAATGTGCATTGCCCTTCCTGCCCACTTCTTCATGCAATCCTGGCACCCATGTGGCACTGGTTAGGATCTGGGTACAACTTTTGTACCAAAAAGAAACACCTTAGCAGGGCCTGTGAGGCTCCCTGGCCATGTTTTACCCCACTTCCCACAGAACCACTTGCTTTGGAGGCTCGGGGACACACATGCTCTGAGGGTCGGGGCTGTTCTGGAGAACTCAATAGGGACCCACTTCCCAGAAAGCACAATGAGGGACATCTGCATCTCCTTCCCTGATGCTGAATGCAGGACCAGGACCTCTTGTGTTCTCCAGAAGCCTGAATATGAGGAAAGTGACACCAAGATAGAGAAGATATGCTCCTGGTAGAGCTGGCCTTCAGGACAGAGAGACACTTGCTGTACCAGGCTGCTGAGGGCCAAGTCTTGTCTGTGTTCTCTGCCTCCTCCCTCATCTCTGTCTCTTCTCCAAGTCCAAAGCTCCAGCTTCTGGATGTCATTCCCATACACTCTGCTCTGTTTACATTTCATGGACTCTGTCTCTACTGTGCAAAATCCAGGACATGTACAACTTTTACAAAAGCAATATCAGTACTTTACAGACCTCTGGTGGTCCACCCTGTCCCTAGCACAAGGAGTAGGCTTTGCATCTTGGCACTCAGGGTGTGCACAGGTGTCTGGAGGTGCTGGGGGGATGAGTAGGTGATTGGAGTTTGGGATATGTGCAGGTGACCGGGGGTGCATGGGGGTGTGCAGGTGACTGGAGGTGCATGGGGGTGCATGGGAGTGTGCAGGTTAGTGGAGGTGCATGGGGGTGCATGGGGGTGTGCAGGTGACTGGAGGTGCATGGGGGTGCATAGGGGTGTGCAGGTGACTGGAGGTGCATGGAGGTCCATGGGAGTGTGCAGGTGACTGGAGGTACATGGGGGTGCATGGGAGTGTGCAGGTGACTGGAGGTGCATGGGGGTGTGCAGGTGACTGCAGGTGCATGGGGGTGCATGGGGGTGTGCAGGTGACTGCAGGTGCATGGGGTGCATGGGAGTGTGCAGGTGACTGCAGGTGCATGAGGGTGCAAGGGAGTGTGCAGGTGACTGGAGGTGCATGGGGGTGTGCAGAGGACTGCAGGTGCATGGGGGTGTGCAGGGGACTGCAGGTGCATGGGGGTGCATGTGACTGCAGGTGCATGAGGGTGCATGGGAGTGTGCAGGTGACTGCAGGTGCATGAGGGTGCATGGGAGTGTGCAGGTGACTGGAGGTGCATGGGGGTGTGCAGGTGACTGCAGGTGCATGGGAGTGTGCAGGTGACTGGAGGTGCATGGGAGTGTGCAGGTGACTGGAGGTGCATGGGGGCGCATGGGGGTGTGCAAGTGACTGGAGGTGCTGACACTTTATCTGGAGAGTAAGCCAGCGCAACCCAGTGTTAAGCCGGGACACATCAGCGTCAGATGCAACCCTGGGGCGGGACAGGGACATTGCCCTAACACAGAGAATAGACAAGAGCAGCAGAGTGGGAGGTCAGTTGAGGGCACGGCATGATGGGGATGAGGAGCTGGTGGCACTGAGGCAGAAGAGAGAGCAGAATGATCTGTGTACGGGAAAAGGCGGGACATTGCGTCCCTGGGGGGAGCTGTCACCAGAGGAAGGGCACGAGGGCGGGGCAGAAGACGTGGCGAGTTTGGCCTCAGATGTGGAGAACCGTGCGAACTGAAGACACTGATCTGAGAACAGTGCGGGAGACATCGGAGTGGGAGCCGCGGAGCAAGGAGGAGAAGACGGGGCCGAGAGGCTTGGCCCGGGGCTCCGCAGCGTGAGGAGCGCTCCCGTCGGCCGCCCGGGCCGGCTCCCTCTCCTGCCACCAGAGGTCGCGGCACGCGGAGCGAGCTCTGCTAGGACCGGGCGCGCCACATGTGCACGTGCACACGCGTCCACATAGAGCTTGTCGCGTTGCTGTCCAGGGTAGCGCCGGTCCCGCCCGCCCGTCCCATCCCCAGCGGGCAGAGGACTCTCACCTGTCGGGGCCTCGGGGGTGTCGCGGGGCGCGGGCTCCCTTGCCAGCTCGCGCGTTTTCCTCTGCTGCAAGCGGCTCTCTCCGGCCTTCCCTGGGGGAAAGGGGCGGTCAGCGCGGCGAGGCTTGGGAGCTCGCCTCCCACCTCGGGAGGCGTTTATGGGGATGCTGCGTCCTGGCTATTAGGGCGCTCCTACCGCAGCTGGCTCATGAGGCAGGCGCACGCGACACCTTTAATGAGCAGCTGGGCAGCGTCCTCCAGCAGCAAATACTACCCTGCCCTGGGAGGTGGGGGGACAGGTGAGGGCCAGCGGGGAGAAATGCACCTGCACTTAGGGCCAGAAGCCGCAGGATGGGCGTGATGCAGCCTCTGATAGGAGGACCTCACCAGCTGACCCCTCTGCAGTCCTGCCTGCAGGTCTTGTCCCCCAACACTGTCCCCACCCAGTACTTTTATCACTTCCCTCCCAAGCCCTTCCTTCTCTCTGGTGTCCAACTCAGTGCTCCTTTGGTAGTGGGTGTCCATCTCCTGAGGCCTACTAGGCAAGGGCCAAGGGCCAAGGGCTGACTGGGAGGTGGTGCCCTGGGCAAGCCAGGCCAGACTAACAAGTCCAGCCAGTGTGACAGAGACGGCTGGCCCTGGGCGTGGGTGTGAGTCATGGGCCCCGGGCTGGGGAAATGCTGGGGAGGAGGCCATCTGGAGCCTACCTCCCAACAGGAAGCCCAAGGAACCAGCATTGGAGGCTGGCCCTGTACTCCCACCCCGCAGGCCTAGAGGCAGGCCCTGGTTTCAGGGGGCAGGGCAGCTGGACCCCAATCAGGATGACATCAGTAGCCCCCACCCTGCCCCCAGGAGTAGGCAGGATTCTTTTTGCCCCATCAGTCCACAAAATGCTATCTGGGCCTTTAAGGGCCCATTCTCTTCCAGCAGCCTGCACACAGCACCCTGAGCTTGGCCCCAGCAGAAGTCCACCTCTCCAGGTCAATTGGGTCTGTCATCTCCACAGAATACCCCAGGCAAGCTCAAAGCCCAGTGGGGTTCCTCTGAACTTGCTAACTCTGAGTGCAGTTTGGGCCCACGGGGATGCTGGGGGTGGGGATGGGTGAAGGGAGGGCCCCTTGGCCAGTTGAGTTGGGGTTGTCTATGTCCAGTGAAGGTCTGGGTCCTGATGGTCAGTGCAGCCAGAATGCAGCTCCTGGTGCTGTGGGCTGCAGTTTGTGTTTCCAGCAACCAGGGGTGGTACGGGGGAACTGGGGTGGGGCGGGTGGGGGGCACTGGTACCCGCCCAGGGCAGGACCAGGCACGCTGGGTGCTGTATGTAGCCGAGGTCTAGCTGCTGAGAGCTGCCTCCTCCAGTTTCTCAGTCTCCCTCCCAGCCTGGCCAACAAGGCCTGTGGCCCGTAAAGTCCTGTATCCTGTGTCAGCACGTTAGTCAACCTTCTCGGCCTGGGTGAGCCACCACGCTGCAGAGTCCCTATAAACTCCCTGGCGTGGCCCGGCCCCACCAAGTGGGGCTGGCGAGGCCTATAGGCAGAGCCAGGCCTGGAGCCACAGTGCTACAGGCACCAGCCAAGGGGCAGGGAGGGACTCAAGGAATACAGGAGCAGAGGCTGAGTGGGACATGGGGCAAACAGCCACTGTGGCCTCCCATGGATGTCCTCTGAGCTGGTCTGACTGAAGCCAGGCAGCTGAGGAGCCAGGACCCCCAGGGAGCAGACACCTAGTGAAAGAGGTGCCGTATCCAGGACTATGTCTGGGAAACGAGGTCGAGCTCGAAAACCCCGAGCCAGGAAGGCTGGCAGGGCCCAGCGGGCGCCTGAGCAGCAAGGCCCTGAGGCTGAGCCCCCGCCCCCGGACACAGGGGGCCCTCGGAGTGAGATGGGGGTGGCCCCTACAGAGCACGTGACCAGCACCAAGCCAGCTCCCCAGAGACAACCCAGGATGGCCAAACCAGAGCAGCCACAGGCAGCCTCAAGGCCCACGCAGGCCGCTGCCCTGGGGTCTGAGCTGGTGGTAGTCCTCCCTGGGTACATGGAGCACTATGGGCCAGGGGCTCCCATGCCCTCCTTGGGCCCAGAACTGCTGAGGCTCCATGAGGTCCAGCTGTGCCTAGCCCAGGAGCAGCTGCTGCTAGAGGACCGGCAGCGGCAGGTCCAGCTGCAGATGCAGATGTGGCAGGAGGAGCAGGCCTGGCTGCAGCAGCTGCAGGAGGAGCAGGCCTGGGTGCACCTAGAGGGGCTACAGCTGGCCATGGCCCTAGAACAGCTCCGCCATGAGGGCCTCGAGGGACTACAGACCCAAGGCCAGGTAAGGCTGGTGGGGCAGGGTGGGGACGGGGTCCCAGACAGTCTGTGTTAGGGTGGTGGCTGCTTGAGCAACCTATAGATGTCTGTGGAGGGCCAGGAGGCCAGGCTGGCTACAGGACATCTGTGGGGCCATCCTCACATTTGCCAAGGGAGACTGATACCCACTGTACAGGGCACAGTAAAACCAAGCAACAAGAAGTTAAGCCCACCTGCCCAGTGCTTCAGGGGTAGAGAGTGGGTCCCTGTCCAGGGATAGAGGGGTCTGGCAGGGCAGACAGTCCCAGGAGCTGTCCTGGGCAGTGCGTGGCTTAGCTGTGGGGTGAGGTTCTGGGTGCACAGTTAGCAGGAAGCAGAACTGAGGCCCACGGGTCCCCAACACAGTGTCCTGGCCAGCTTTCTGGGCCTCCTGCCCTGTCCCTATTTACTGGAGGCTTGTACTCAGGGCTTGAGATCACAAAGCAGCACGCGGGCCTGTGCCCATTATCCTCATTCCAGGAGGATTGCAGGCCTCAGACGCAGCTGGGGCTATTTTAAGGAAGCAGGATCTAACCCTAGCTTGGTGCACAGGAGCAGTCACCACTAGGCCACAAGATTCTGTGACTCTGGGAGCTCTCTGGTGTCCAGGGGTTTATGCCAGGCCTGCTCTGAGCCTAGGGGCTGCATCTAGGGAGCAGTGAGCACAGACCCTACCGTGGGCCTGGGTGCTAGAGCTGAAGCTTGGAAGGTATTTGCAGCTGTGACAGAGAATAAATGGGCCTCAGAGTGGGGAGTAATAACTGGTGAAGGAGGACTTGGGAAGAGGTCCCCTTCCGACCCACAGCAGGATGGAGCCAATTCAACCTAGAAGTGGCTATAGAGAGGTTGGCCTGGGAGCAAAGAAGCAGGCCAAGGAAAATGCAGTATGACCCAGGAGCAGAAAGTCATAGTGCCTCATACATGGCCTGAGACCCCAACTTGGATTTAACCCTACTCTGTTTCAAAACCCAGTTTCTGCCACCGGGCTCCTCCCACTCATCTGTACCCGCCCCATCTCTGTTCTCAGTAACTCTGCTCTTCTGAACACTGCTCCAGGCCCCACCCCAGATGCAGGGATACAAAACTCAGGGCCAGGGTCTGGGATAAATGTCACACCCAATCCCAATTTGGAGCTCCCCTGAAGGCCACTTTTCCCAGAGTGGGCGTCCCTGGCTGCATAGAGGGTCTCCCAGGTCAGTGTTTGGATGGCACACTCACCAGCAATAGCTCCTGGCTTGGGCTCTGGGAGGGACCTCTGCCACTTCCCTGGTGCAGCTTTGGGCACCCTCTTCTTGCTGCTCATTCTCCTGGGAGTGGATAGGAGAGTTGCAGGAAGGGTATGCTCAGAGTGGCAGGGACAGTTTGGGGGGAACAGTGTTACACACTGCCATGGGGCTTGATGGACAGACCGTCCCAGCACTGCTTCTGAAATGGCTTCCTTGGCTTCCTGCCCACCCCTCTTTATCCCTGAGTGCACCCAGAAGTGTAAGCAAGGCAAGAGCACCTTGCCTCTGCTTGTACCCCTACCCTTGCTGGCCTGCCCCCTCCAGTATGTGTGAACTGCCTCTGCTGAAGCCACCACCCTCTCTTCTCTCAGAACCAAGCTGACTCCTGAACCTTTTCTTGTCCTGAAGTTGGCAAATGCTATTCTCAGGTCTCAGGAGCAAAACCCTTCTCTCTAGCCCATGCAACTGACTGCCAAGTTCACTGCCCCTGGAGGGCCTCTTCTGCCTGCTCCACCTTGATGGGGGTCCTCCCTGATGACCCAGAGCCCTGCACCCACTGCAGTGCAGTTGTCTGAGCACTGGTTTGACCCATGCCCATGTTCCCACTGTGCAAGTGTCAAAGGGTCACTTAGTATTTGGGGGAGGAACTAATGGAACTGGGAATGACCCTGAAAACAGAGATAATAGGATGACATAGCAAGAGAGACAAAGAGGAAGGAGATGACAGAACACTGGCAGAAAGGGTTTAGGCAGGGCCAAAGCTGGGGAGAGAGTGGCAAGGCAGCATGGAGCTGGCTTGGACAGATGGCTCTGTGCAGAGCAAGGCTTTTGTGGGGGAGGGGACCTACACCAGGGCCTGAGGGGCAGCTGGGGGTAGGGTGTGCTTGCTAGTTGTGTGCACCAGGGGCATGTCAGTATGTGGGGCTCAGTAGCACACCAGATCCCCGTGTGTGTGTGGGGGGGGACTTTCCATGTACACACGGGGTCCCTGTGCTTTTAGTCGGTATGCATGGGTGGTTTGCGTACCTGGCATCCCATTTGTGTTGGGTCAGTGCCTGAGGGATGCCTGTGTGCAAGTGGGAGCTCCCCTGTGTGTGCAGATGTGTGTGCGTGATTGGCGGTGCAGGGTTTGCTGTCCTGCAGGGTTCTATGTTCCTGAGAGGTCTCCTGTGCTTGTGGGAGTCAGTGTGCATGAGGGGTCCCCGTCCAGGATAGGAGAGGACTATCAGGGGTCGGTGAGGGCCTGTGCCTCTGGGGTCCCAGGTACTTGTGGGCAACGGTGTGGGCCTCCAGTGAACAAACTGGAATTCGGGGGTCCTCTTGCAGGCGGGATCCCCTAGAGGTGTACGCGTCGGTATGGCGGGTGAGTGATGAGGGGGCCCTCTATACTCGCGGGGTCCCCAGGCTTGGCCCGGCCCCGACGTCGCCCCAGCGACCTCACCTGCCTCACCTGCCTCCCCCAACTAGCCCAAGAAAGCCAGAAGCCCCGCCCCTCGCGTCGGGGCTAGCCCGTATCCTAGCGACTGAGCCGGAACTTCCCAGTCACCCGGACTTCCGGGGCGAGGGTCAAGGGTCACTCTAGGGACTTTGAACCTCAGTTAACAGATGGGCTTCTGAGGTCTCGGGCTTCTGGAAGTAGGGCCCTTGGTGGTCTACGGCGACGTGGGGCTAGAGTCCCAGGGCGCGTGGCTTCGGGGCACGGACGGGTCCCCGGCGGAGGGCCGGGTCTGGGGTCTAGGGACCGGGGCAGGTCGGGGACTGGGGGCGACGGCGGCTAGGGGCCGCAGTGGCTTGGGGCGCAGGAATGCGGGCGCGCCGCGGGTGGGGCCGCCCCGCCCCCAGGTGCTGCCCGGGCAGGCAAGAGGCTGCGGCGGCGGGTGGGGCGGGGCGGGGGCGGGCGCGTGAATCAGGCCGGGCGGGCGGGCTGGCCGCGGCAGGGAGTGGCTGCAGGACCGACCGGACCGCGAGGCCGCTGGGCGGCGGTCGGCTCCTGCTGCCCCTGTGCCGAGACCCCGCGCACCTGGCCAGGTAGGGCCCCGGCCCCGGCCCGAGCAAGGCGGGGCGGAGCGCGCCGGAGGCGCAGGCTGGGGCGGGAGCCCCTCCGCGCGGCCCCACCTGGGCAGCGGTCCCGCACCTAGGCCGGGGCCGTTCGATCGAGAGGGGCTGTGGGAGTGGAGCTCGGCCGCATGTATGGGACCTGGGGATGCGGGGGTGCCGCAGTGTGGACATGGACGTGAGCGTCCTCGCACGACGCTGGCCCAGGGAGAGTCAAGAGGGAAAAGGCCCGGGTCCTGGGTAGGCCTGCCCGGCTATCCTAACCCCCATCGCGGCCTACGTGGGGTTTGGAGAGGCTGCTGGTTACCGCTTGGACCCTTCCCTGAGGACGCCCTGCCCAGACTGCCATGGGCTGGGATGAGCAGGGCGCGGCCTGGAGCTCCGCGTGGAGGGCAGGGAAAGCCCCGTCTTTCGGCCCACGTCCGTGGATTGGGGTGGGCGAATGGGACACCCTGCCCATGGAGCCGCGAACTTGCTGGGGTTCGCTGACCTTTGGCTCTGCGGTGACCACCCCGCAAGCTACAACTCTAACTTCCGGTCTGTGAACCCCATGTGCCCGGATCCCGCTTTTCGTCCGCCTCCCGGCTGCCTAATGCCTCCAAGCCTTCTGCTTCCGCATGGGTACTTGGCACAGAGTCACCCCACTAAGTGTAGGGCCTCCAGATTGCTCTGATAGGATCCTTTTTCCACTTAGACACCCCACTTCCTGTCAGGGTGAGAATTGAAGGCCCATTGAAGTCCTAGGTGAAAGCCCTGGAGACATTGTCTGGCTTCAGGTCAGAGGTCAGGCAGAGGAGCTGATTCCTGCTGAGTCACTCACAGGGTGGGATAACCGTCCTCCACCCTTAGGGCGGGTTTTGGTAGGCAAACCTGTGGGAGCAGGCTGTTGGGGACCTCCATTGCAGGCTGGGTAATGGCTGCAGCCCAGTGCATAGTGTAGGGCAGTGGTACTCAACCTTCCTAATGCCGTGGCCCTTTAATACTGTTCCTGTGGGTGATAACCCACAGGTTGAGAACTGCTGGTCTAGGGGCATAAGAACACAATGAAAAGAAACAGGCAAGGAATGAAGCTGCTGGAGGTGGTGGGCATCTCTGTTGGAGGCTGAGTGGGTGCCCCTTCCTGACCAGGCACACTGCAGGGAGGGCTTCTCCCTACAGGGGTCTCGCCCCAGTTATGCACAGACTGGGCACTGTGATGATTCCCTTCCAAGTGAAATCAGAAGGGCAGTGATAACCCTTCCAGAGTCCCAGCTCAGAAGAACCTCCTCAAGTACAATCAGCAGGGTAGTTCGCTCAACTCTGTGTGGTCACACTGCCCTGTACAGCCAGACATGGAAAGGTAAATGGATGGCCCCACCAGCACAGACAGGTCTGCTCCTAGGACAACCAGGACAACGTACCCTGACCACATATGTCAGACATGAGGATGCAGTTGGGACAGCTTTTCCTAAGACAATTTGGCCTGGTACCATCCCCAGGGCTGGTGGACCTACTGGTACAAAAGGGTGCCCACAGGTTGGGCGCAGTGGCTCACACCTGTAATCCCAGCACTTGGGAAGCCAAGCCAGGTGGATTGCCTGAGCTCACACGTTCAAGACCAGCCTGAGCCAGAGGGAGACCTTGTCTCTAAAAATAACCAGGCATTGTGGAGGGTGCCTGTAGTCCCAGCTACTCAGGAGGCTGAGGCAAGAGAATTACTTGAGCCCAAGACTTTGAGGCTGCTGTAAGCTGTGATGCCACAGCACTCTACTGAGGGTGACAAAGTGAGATTCTGTCTCAAAAAAAAAAAAAGGGATGCCCATGTTGCATTCAGTGTCCAGTTAGTATGTCACCCCCAAGACAGCCAGAATAGCCACTGGGGTCATGTACAGCAGGCTGAGCCCACCATCCTCAGGCAAGAGCCGCCTCCTTACCCTAGTTTAGTCCAGCTGGCCGCCACTCCCATCCTGTCAACCCTGTGCAGCTGCACTTCGGGGCATACTCCTTGGCAGACTCACTTTGCTTCCCCAGCCAGTACCAACATTTGGGAGTCCGTTTGCTAGGCAGAACAAGTGTCCCTATCCCTCAGGTTAGGGATAGGGTGAGTGATCCCCCGGATTCTCCTTCCTGGGCTGGAGGGCAGGTATCCAGGTAGTTAAGTGATCCTGTTCAAAGGCCTAGGAGCCCAGTCGAGGCCTCATCTCACAGTTTCCAGAGAGGCCAGTCCCCTATGGAGGCCCTTGAGAGCAGGGTGACCTGGAGCCACTGGTGAGAGCATGGGAAGTGAGGAACCCAAGACACTCTACAGGCACAGCAAAAACTGTGACTTCATTGTGAGTGCAGCAAGGGGCACGGCAATGGCCCTGGGACTCAAAGCACGTGGAGAGGAACATCTAGGAAGGCACAAAATGCAGGCACTGAAAGAACCTATAGGCATTGGGGACAAGCCCTGGAAAAGTTTTATCAAGGATGGGAAAGTGGCCAAGGAATGGGCCAGAGGAAGAGGAACTTGTGGACAGGGACAAAGTCTAGTGGTTAGCGTTGTGAGGCCCAGGAAGACAGTGTGAGACCCCAAGGACAGGGAGGAGCTGTGGGTGGGGCTGAAGGTGCTGGTGTGCTGCACTTGCTGCTCACCTGGACCAGGTGTGGTGGCATGTCAGCCTCAGCCGCAATGTATAGCACAGGAAACAGGCTAGAGAGGCTCACTAACCTGCCCAGGGTTTCTGAGGGGTTCAGGGACATATAGGCAGTGTGGGCAGCATCTGTGCTTCCTGCAGGTACAGCGCCAGGGAGCCGTGAACATGTTAATGATTTAAAATAGGAAGAAAAAAGTGCATATGGTGATGGCCCCAGCCTGGCTTAATATTTGTCTTTGAAGTAACAGTCATAAACTATTTTAAATATATCTTTATGGAAAAAGAAATCCCCAAAGCATCTGGGGCCACAAAGGTCATAGAGTAACTGGGGAGGGGAACAGTCCCTGGCTGCTGGTGAGAGCAGGGACCAACCAGCAAGGCCTGAGGAAGGGGAGATGGAACCTGTCCCCTGACACTCTGCTTACGCCCTCCACCCCCACCCCAGCAAGAGACCTTCTAGGGCCTAGGATGCCCTCTATGAGCCTGGCTTGGCTGGTCCCCTGGAAGGCCTCCCAGGCAAGGATTAAACTCCAGCTCATAGTGTGTGTCTACTCCAGAGGGTAGGGGATGTGATCCCCAGTCCTCCTGTTAACATGTCTCCCTGCCCCTCCAGGCCTTAGGCCCCAACATGGCCCGTCGCTCCCAGAGCTCTTCTCAGGGGGACAACCCACTGGCACCTGGGTACCTGCCACCTCACTACAAAGAATATTATCGCCTAGCAGTGGACGCACTGGCTGAGGGTGGGTCAGAGGCCTACAGCCGCTTCCTGGCATCTGAGGGGGCACCTGACTTCCTGTGCCCTGAGGAGCTAGAACATGTGAGCCGACACCTGCGGCCCCCACAGTATGTTGCCCGAGAGCCCCCTGAAGGCAGCCCTCCTGATGTGGACATGGATGGCTCTTCAGGCACCTATTGGCCAGTGAACTCAGATCAGGCTGTACCTGAACTTGACCTGGGCTGGCCCTTGACCTTCGGCTTCCAGGGCACGGAGGTAACAACACTGGTGCAGCCACCACCACCTGACAGCCCCAGCATCAAGGAGGAAGCTCGAAGGATGATCCGTTCTGCCCAGCAGGTTCGCCAGCGAGGGCAGGGCAGGGGGGAGTGAGGGGGAGAACAACAGTGTGGCCAGCTTTTGGTGGGGTGAGCCTGGGCTGAAGCTGCAGTGGGGGCTCCCTGGCAGGATTCTTCGGGGGCTACAAGGGTGTGGCCTCTGCAGGTTTCCTTGCCCAGGGTCATGGCCTGTGCTTGGAAACTTGGTGGCTCCAGGATGGGACAGCACCCTCTTAGCCTGGATGGCTCTTGACCATCTGAGGGTGTCTTAACTCCCACCAAGAAGCTGGCAAACAGCAAAGGGAATCTGTTAGATCTTGGAGACTGAGGCAGGGGCAGCCTGGCCACCTGTAAGGCACAGGGCTTTTGAGACTCCCTTTGCTTGGTGGTCCCCATCTAGGGTTCTCTGCCCACAGATGAGCCTGCAGGCCCTGCTTATCTTTGCATCCCCTTAGGCAACCCCAACCTGGGCAGCAGCTACACACCCTTCTGTTGGGTCCTTTCCTCTTGTGCTTTAACTGACATGGACTTGCTCTCTGGGAGGGGCGAGTGGCACTGTACAGGGTGGCTGACCCAGAGGTCCAGCGGTAAGGCTGGAGAATGGCATGGGACAGTAGGCGAGTCTGCTTTCTGTCCTGACCCGACCCCCCAGGTGGTGGCTGTGGTGATGGACATGTTCACCGATGTGGACCTGCTCAGCGAAGTGCTGGAGGCTGCTGCCCGCCGGGTCCCAGTCTACATCCTACTGGATGAGATGAACGCACAGCACTTCCTGGACATGGCGGACAAGTGCCGTGTCAACCTGCACCACGTGGATGTGGGTAACAGAAGGTGGGGAAAGGGAGGGGGGAAAGGAGGGAAGACCCTGGGCAGACACATGACTCCCCTTCCGCCCCAGTTCCTGCGCGTGCGCACAGTGGCGGGCCCCACCTACTACTGCCGCACCGGGAAGTCTTTCAAGGGCCACGTAAAAGAGAAGTTCTTGCTGGTGGACTGTGCAGTGGTGATGAGCGGGAGCTACAGGTGCGCACAGCCCGCGACCCCCAGCCCCTCCCCGCGGGCTGCCTCCTGGAGCCCCAGCACCCCGCCAGGGTCCTCTTTTGGAGTCCCACTACAGCCTGGACTGTCCAGGTTCTCACAGACCTCATGCCCCTGGAGTCCCTCCCGGCCCAGCCTGTGCCGGCTGGGCCTGTCCCCTTCTCCTGACTCTGGCCCGACCCGTCCACAGCTTCATGTGGTCCTTCGAGAAGATCCATCGCAGCCTGGCGCACGTGTTCCAGGGTGAACTGGTCTCCAGCTTCGATGAGGAGTTCCGCATCCTCTTCGCGCAGTCCGAGCCGCTGGTGCCCTCCGCCGGGACCCTGGCCCGCATGGACGCCTACGCCCTGGCTCCCTACACGGGGGCCGGGCCCCTCGTGGGCGTCCCTGGGGCTGGGGCGCAAACCCCTTTCTCCTTCCCGAAACGAGCACATCTCATGTTCCCGCCACCCCGGGAAGAAGGCCTGGGCTTCCCCACCTTCCTCGACCCCGACCGCCACTTCCTGTCGGGGTTCCGCAGGGAGGAGCCGCGGATGCCCGGGGGTGCCCTGGAACCGCATTCGGGGCTGCGGCCACTGTCGCGGCGGCTGGACGCCGAGGCTGGGCCGGCCGGGGAGTTTGCGGGCCCGCGAGGCTTCTTCCAGGCGCGGCATCTGGAGATGGACGCTTTCAAGCGGCACAGCTATGCGGCAGCCGACGGCGCGGGCGCGATGGAGAACTTTACAGCAGCGCGGCAGGTGTCAAGGCAGACGTTCCTCAGCCATGGCGACGACTTCCGCTTCCAGACCAGCCACTTCCACCGTGACCAGCTCTACCAGCAGCATTACCAGTGGGATCCTCAGGTGGCGCCTGCGCGCCCGCAGGGTCTGTTCGAGAAGCTTCGCGCCGGCCGTCCAGGTTTTGCTGACCAGGATGATTTCGCGTTGGGCGCCGGGCCGCGCTTCCCGGAGCTTGGCCTCGACGGGCACCAGCGGCTGGACTACGTGCCGTCCAGCGCATCGCGGGAGGTGCGACACGGCTCGGACCCCGCCTTCGGGCCTGCCCCTCGCGGTCTTGAACCTGGTGGGGCCCTGCGCCCCAACTTGGGTCAGCGCTTCCCTTGCCAGGCAGTGGCGAGGTCAGGCCCAGACAACACTGCAGAGGCTGAGCCGGAGCGCAGGGGAGGGCCCGAGGGGCGAGCGGGGCTGCGGCACTGGCGCCTGGCCTCCTATCTGAGCGGCTGTCACGGGGAAGATGCAGGAGACGAGGGCCTGCCAGTGCCGGTGCCCATGGAAGCCGAGGCCTATGAAGACGACGTGCTGGTTTCTGGGGGCAGGGCAGCCGCCGGGGACCTGCTCCCTTCGACCTTCCGTGTCCCTGCAGCCTTTCCTACCAAGGGCCCGGTTCTGGGCTCAGGCAGCGGTGGCGGTGAGGTCCCGGAGGAGGCAGCCCTGGCCAAGCAGGACTCCTTCCGCTCGCGCCTGAACCCATTCATCCAGCGCAGCTCGAGGCTGCGCTCCTCTCTCATCTTCAGTGCCTCACAGGCTGAGGGCGCGGGCGTGGCCGCAGGATCCACCACTGAAAAAGTGCAGCTGCTGCACAAGGAGCAGACGGTCAGCGAGACGCTTGGTCCCGGCGGAGAGGCTGTGCGCTCCTCGGCCTCCGCCAAAGTGGCCGAGCTACTAGAGAAGTACAAGGGCCCGGCGCGTGACTCCGGCGGCGAAGGGGGCGCTGTTGCTGTTGCCAGTCACAGCAAGGCTGTGGTGTCTCAGACTTGGCGGGAAGAAGTGGCGGCACCCGGCGGTGCAGGGAGTGAGCGCCGCAGCCTAGAGAGCTGCTTGCTGGACCTGCGCGACTCCTTTACCCAGCGGCTGCACCAGGAGGCTGAAAGACAGCCAGGAGTCGCTTCGTTCACTGCGGCCCAGCTGCTAGATACACTGGGCCGGGGCGGCACCGACCGCCTGCCCTCTCGCCTTCTCTCTGCCCAGAGTGCCTCAACCTCTGTGCAGGGGCCAGACAAACTCCTAACACTGGAAGGGTCCAGGGCACAACAGGTGCCCCATTCTGAGCCAAAAGAGAGCCCCACTGTGGCCTACCCTGAGCGGAAAGGGAGTCCCACACCTGGGTTTTCCATCCGGAGAAGCAGCCCAACTACCGGATTTATTGAGCAGAAAGGGAGCCCTACCTCCCCTTACCCAGAGCACAGGGGCAGCCCTGTGTCCCCCGTGGCTGAGCTCAGGGGCAGCCCTGTGTCCCCTGTGGCTGAGCGCAGGGGCAGCCCTGTGCCTCCAGTGCCAGAGCGCAGGGGCAGCCCTGTGCCTCCGGTGCCCGAGCGCAGGGGCAGCCTCACCCTCACCTCTGGGGAGACTGCAAAGACAGGGCCTGGGGAGGAGGCAGCAGGCGGCCCCATGGACGTCCTCCGCAAGGGCTCCCTGCGCCTCAGGCAGCTGCTGAGCCCCAAGAGCGAACGGCGCCCAGAGGAAGAGGGTGGTTTCTCAGTGCCTCAGGAGAACGGGCAGCCGGAGAGTCCCAGGCAGCAATCCTTAAGCCGAGGTGACAGCATGGAGGCTACCACAGGAGACGAGCGTGGCCCGCGGTCGCGCCTGGCTTCAGCCACAGCCAATGCCCTGTACAGCAGCAACCTGCGGGATGACACAAAGGCCATTCTGGAGCAGATCAGTGCCCACGGCCAAAAGCACCGTGGTGTCCCTGCCCCAGGCCCTAGCCCAGCCCATAGCAGCCCTGAACTAGGCCACCCACTGGCTGCTGGCGGCCTGGCCCCAGACATGTCCGACAAGGACAAGTGTTCAGCTATATTTCGCTCGGACAGCCTGGGGACCCAAGGCCGGCTGAGCCGCACGCTGCCAGCCAGTGCGGAGGAACGCGACCGACTGCTGCGGCGCATGGAGAGCATGCGGAAGGAGAAGCGTGTGTACAGCCGCTTCGAGGTCTTCTGCAAAAAGGAGGAGGCTGGCGGCCTGGGGGAGGGCCCCGCAGAGGAGGGCACCAGAGACAGCAAGGCGGGCAAGTTTGTGCCTAAGATCCTGGGCACGTTCAAAGGCAAGAAGTGAGTCTCCTCCTCCACCAGCCCAGGCCAGGTGCCTGAACCACTGCCATCATTGTCCAGAGCATGGCCATGCTTTTGTGTCTGAGTGGTGGCTGCTAGGCCCCATGCCAGGGCAATCTGGAGTGTGTGCTGCTTGCCCAGAAGCTGCCCTGCCTCTGTCCCTGGCTTCCCCAGCCTTGGAGCTCCAGCCCTTCCCTGTGGTGCTTCTCCCCAGCTCCCTTTTCTGAGAACCCTCAAGCCTCCCCTGCTCACACATCTGCCCTGACCGTCTCTTTGGTTTCTTGTCCCCTTTGGGGCTTCATTCCTCAGGAACTTCTTAAGTGCCTCAATGCCCGTTCTCTCTGGGGCTTCTTGTCTCCTCAGGGCTTCTATTCTCAGGGTTCCCCTCCTCAGACATGGCATCATGGTCTCAGGGCCTCTCTGCTTCTCAGGGGTCACTGCTTTTGCCTCCACCTTGAGCACTGTGGGATCACTTTCTTCCCTGCTCGGATTCCCCTGGGGTCTTCCTAGGTGGCCAGTGCTCTTGCTTTAGGGAAGACTGGGCTGGCTGCAGGCAGTCTGGGAGGGGTGGAGCTGGGCCCAAAGGAAACTTTCTCAGAGTGACAGGGAATGCTGCTTGCTGGGAAAGGGGCCCGAGTAGTGCTCCAGGAGGGCCCCATCAGCACTGGGCTTTGCAGCACAATAAAATATAGTATGGACAGATGGCCTGTGGCCCAGCTTCTTTGTGTCCATCACACAGGCACTATGCCAGGCCATATCCCAGAGAGGCTAGATGTGGGGCCAGTGAGGGCAGAGGACAGGCTGAGGTAAAGGTGGAGTGAGTGTGGGCCCCACCACTGCTCTGGGAAGCTCAGGTTCTGCAGAGCCCAACTCCACCCTGTTCATGAGTCCTTTCCTCTATGTCATCAACACACAGAATGTGTTCAGGAATTCTAGTTTACCTATCTTGCATCTTTTTTCACCTTCAGAGAGCAATTTTAATTGACTTGGAATGACACATTTTGGCACCAAATGCTTAGAAAGTCCCCCATTGGTGGATGTTGGCACTGTGAAATTGGTTTCTGTATTCTGCTGTTTGTTTTCAAATACTGTAGGGTTTTGTTTGGGGATTTTTTTTTTTGAGACAGCCTCAAGCTGTCCCCCTGGGTAGAGTGCCTTGGCATCACAGTTCACAGCAACCTCCAACTCCTGGGCTCAAGCGAGTCTCCTGCCTCAGCCTCCCAAGTAACTGGGACCACAG